AGATAGGATCTCTAGAGATGACCTAAGAGATCTTGGGTTAGTGGAGGAAGCAGAGAGTAGGGGAGAAGGATAGTGGGAGGGGTAGCCTAGGCATATCTAGGAGTTACCCAACTGGCAATAAATACCGAGGAGGGCACAGCCCAAATGCTCTGGCGCAGATAGGCGGATCGGGCGAGGAAAAGGACCAGAACGAATATACGAAGGATAGTAGGAGCTTATAGAGCTCCTAGAGATAAATTAGGGGCAGTGGTCTAGACCACTGCCCAGACGCATGTGTCTGTCATAGCCAACTGGCTCCATATGGACGTTAAACTTGATTAAATAAATAAATAAATAAACTACACTATAATCTCACCATCCAGTCTCTTGGCCAGGAATGTCCATCTCTCGTGGCTAAACTCTAGAATATTGAGAGCATAACCCACTTTTATCTACCGTGAACCAGTTAGAATTATCGAGGACATGAAGAGTCAAGGATTCGAGTTTGGGGGCCATACAAGGTACTGGGCGAAGCATTTCGTAAGTTTACTATTTCTGTTGTTTCTGTGTGGAGCCTGTTATCGTGAAACTTGTTCATTCAACTTCATTGGTTGCCTATCTGTGGTTTGGTAATACTGTGTATTTCTGTGGCTCCCTCGCGGACCCACACCTAAAAATATACTCCAGTAAGTATGGTCGTGTATTCGATGCCTAGATTCTGTTTTATGGGTCTCAACACTGAATGGAATGTGGTTCAAGCCTGGACCTTGACGTACCCCACGGAATCTCGATGCACGCGGCTTCGATAGGCTATTCTTTAGGGCACCATTGGAAAAGCCTTAGATTCCTAGGAGGCCGGATAACTCACTCGACGTCTATCACCCTGATGTAAATGAATAGGCTGACCGTGATAATGCCAGATTGGTTAACATATGCGACGTTTAAATAGTGAGTATTGAAGCCTGTGGCAAAGCAAGATGGAGGAGGACGAAATTGAAAATTGAAATTAAGAGATAATCATTAGATATGCTCACCCAAAGAAGGGTGCATATTTACATAGGAACTGACTCATACCCCTGGGCAATCCGTAGAAATCTCATGTAGCACCTTGGCGTGGGGGACGGACGGAAATGATTTTTGCTTGGTATCATCCAGGTTACGCAGAGAAGATGAACATCATAAAGAATCATAGCCGGCGGTAAAAGGATATACGTAGCACAGAGCCAAAATAGCGATGTCCCGAAAAAGATTGTCTTGGGTTGTCTGGTGATGAGTATAGGGACTAAAGGCTGATCTACACCTAAAGGCAAATCGGTAAGCTAAGACTCTAAGATATAGTAAACAACTTATGTATGGTCGAACGTGTTCATGGATGTCTAACCATACTCAATGTTCGTCACTGTAAACGTGACAACACGTGATTCACACTGGCGATAATCGAGGACAACAGAAGTACACGAAAGAAAAACAAGGTACGATGGTGTTCATCACAGCTTGGATTTCATTTTGTTGTTCATTTCCTTAACCAGAACACCGCACTCAACCTCTTCACAGAGCCGTGTCCGTCGCTTGGGGTCCAAATTCTTCACGAACTCCAGACCACTGGCACGCTCGATGTGGGCAACATCGACCTCAAAGTCTGCCAGCTTTTTGTGGGAGTCTATCACACCGTTTGGCAGGACGAACGCCCCCAGAGCAACTTCACCCGTGTAACACTCATTTCCGTCTTCATCACGGGGTTCTTTCTCACCATAAATAATCTTGAAGAAATGCGTAGGGACGGCAACATTCGGCGCAAAGTTGTTATCCTCCCTAGCGCTGATTTCCTCTGCGCCAGGAACCTTACTTGAGCCAATAACCTCATAGCTAACGCGCCACTTGCCATCATCACCTTGACGTGGCAAGTACAGAGGACCGGTCACGATCCGCACAGAAGGATACGTTGCGGTCAAATTCCGGCAAAACTCCTCCAAGTACCGCCAGTACCCCCTGTTAAACCCATCGCCCACCTGTGGACACATGTTGGACATCTTGAAGGTGTCGTCGATCGCCTTTTGCGACCATTTCGCATCTTGAGCGGGGACTTGATGGCCACGGTCATACCCGCACTTGGTGTAGTCGCTCACCTTAGCACGAAATATCTTGGGGATACTTTGGTCTTCCCGAAAGTTGTCCTTTCGCGTTCCGATGACCTGAGCCATGGATTCTGGTGTTATGTGTTCTGCGACCCATAGGGGATTCCGCGTGCGACGGTCGTATGCACCATAGAACGAAAGAGCTTTCAATTCGTCGGCGACTGGGCCAGGGTGGCCGTATGTTAAAATCCCCGTTGGATCGATTTTGGGAAGGCTAAAGGGTGTGATAGCAAGACCGGGAGGGGGAGCTTGGACGGGAAGACTTTTGGTTCGTATATCGGGTAGCGGGGAGATGCCTGGTATATCGGGAGCAATGATCTCGAGCGTCGGTTCGGGTTGACGTGGTTGAGCTGTTGATGTATATAAAAGTGCTGCACCTGCACCTGCAGCAGCGCTGGCTGCTGCTATCGCGGCTTGCCTCACTCTAGACATCTCACAGCTTGATCAGTACTCCTTGGCACGAGGCGGGTGGTAAGTTAACTGAATATAGCCCTCTGCAGTAGAAAGAAAAAATTATCAAAAGAAAAAGGGGGGGAAGAGTCAGAAGCACACAGAATAGTTAAAGAACAGAGAAAAGAGAATAGTAGAACGGATGGAGCGCAGTTTATGTGGCTTGAAGCACGACTACCCTGTATGCATGCGATAGTTCATAATGCACAAGAGGATAGGGTGTTAGAGATCGGTTACATCCTCAAGAATATGGTATCATACGAGGAGGTCCACCCGAGGTGCAACACTGTATCTGAGTAGGGCTATGGCTGCTCATGGCGTTCAGAAATCCGAATGCAACAAGGTATTCAACCACATTGGGCAGTACGACACTATTGGGGTCTGAACGGACATGGACCAGCATGACATTTAAAAGCGGTAGATCCCACGAGCTCGCCCTATGACAATCTTCACTTCAACTGCGGACGGAATATGTAGATAATTCGGACGGTTTAGGTAGCGGTCACAATTTCTTCTCAGCTCGTCCTGGCATTCTTCTATGTGGATCACAAGAATGTCTGTATAACATGATCTACCAGTTAGAAGGTGGAACCATGTTCTCCCAATCCAAGACTGACATTCCTCGTTCTACCTGTCACTTGTTCGGTGGCCCCTGGGTTTCGCTACTTAAATTACATAAAGTCCTGGACATTTGTCCATCACAACAATACTGCAAATTCGTGCGGCATCATCCAGGAATTGCTTCATCCACTCGTACTCATCGAGGCAATTATCAGATACACTACAACAAGTACTACCGTGACAATTTCTTTCATTATAAAGGGAGGTCAGTGATTCCGTGAGACATGCATGGCAGCTATGTTGATTACTGGGATGTGTCCACCCAAAGCTTCAGTTGAGCAGAGATAGGTTCATGTCGACTGGTCTCTGCTGTTAGAAAATGGGGTTTCCAGTGGGAGTTCTACCGGAAATAGCAAATCAATGAGCCACCGACGGATGAATCCGAGTATGGTATGTTTAAAGGCATGCAGATCTCATGGGTGCATGAACAAGAGTGCCCTTTAGGTTGGCTTGCCTTCAAAAAAAAAGAATAGACTTAGCTCATCTGCTAATACAACGAAGTGGCTTTGCGTAAAATATAGAAAATAAAGTAATGTGAACAATCAAATCCTACTTAATAACTCGAACGTTTAGTTTCCAGCTAGGGCTCGACCCAATTCACGTGTCCACGACTCCAAGAATGTAACCGCCGGCTTTTGTTTTTCAATTCGTTGAATCTGATTCCAATGTGTTCCAACATGCCGGGTCCCAAGCCTTACCCCGCTCCTTTGGTGATCGCACCTCTGAAGAGCAACCAACACACCCATACAATCATTCTCCTCCACGGCCGTGGCAGAAATGGTGAGCGCTTTGGCCAGGTCTTCCTCGAGTCAACTGACATTGCGCGGCGTCTCCCAACAGTGAAGTTTGTCTTCCCCACCGCCAGGAAACGTCGCTCCACGGTTCTGAAAAGGATCCCTATCAACCAGTGGTTTGACAATTACTCATTGGAAGATCCAAACATCAGGACGGAATTGCAGGTAGATGGACTCGAGGAAAGTACCCGCTACCTGCGTGGGTTGATTCATGAAGAGGCACGGCTGTTAAATGGAGAGCATCGTCGCGTCATCATCGGGGGATTAAGTCAAGGCTGTGCAACGTCTATTTCCTGTCTTCTTGGGGGCTTCCCTGAAGATGACAAGATGAAGCCGCTTGGTGGATTTATTGGAATGAGCGGGTGGCTGCCTTTTGAACAAGAGATCTCGGGACTATTAGGATTTGATGGAAGCGAATCTGACCTTGAAGATGATGATCCTTTCTCTCATGATGATGAGGATGGTGAGGATGTCCCTGGGCATATCCATGCGATCAATCATATTCGGGACGCTCTTAATATGCCGGCTTTGCAGCAGTCTTCCTTGTCCTATTTAAATACGCCTTTCTTCCTGGGACATGGGTCGGCAGACCCGAAGGTATCGGTGAACCTTGGGCAACGAATGGCGTCTATTCTTTCCGATGGGTTTGGGATGGATGTGACCTGGAAAGCGTATGAAGAGTTTGGACACTGGTATAAAGTGCCAGACGAGATCGATGATGTTGCGTATTTTTTGAAGGAAAAGCTTGGGGTTCCGTGCGTCGATAGACCCTGAGCAATGTGAAGATTTACGAGTTTGCCCGGGCTGGAAAGCGAGGTTGCATCGCATTATATCGGTCAACTGCAAGGTTTGCCTAATTTGTTTACATTTGATACTGTGCATATATATCACAGGCTCTTTTTGAAGTAGGCTGCTGGGGCTCCAGTCGGGGATACGGGGACTTTCAAAGAGCGATAATCCAAAGCGATGTTGTGAGGAATCTCCTGAATTCGTCCTGTTTCGAAGTTGCATATTGCTGTAAAGCCATCCTCTGAACCATACCTCTCTTTATTGGCTTGGCTTACAATGAGAAAATAGCTACTTAGCCTACGTGATAGGGAGCGTTTCTGGGCCATGAAACTTGAATTGAAATACTAAATATGTAAACCCTCACACCCCAAGCCCCAAGCCCCTAAAGCCATCACATAGCGTTCATATAAAGCATATAACTAATATACATACTACAACAATTAGTTACGAACCAAACAGAGTTCCTCAACTTACTTACCCGAAAGTCCGGATTCTCCCTATCCGTCATATCCAAGAAAGCACCTGAGTGACCAATATCTTCGGGATTACCATTCTCAGCAACAGCAGTGGCTTTTTCTTTGCCTTTATTCCGACGGACAAGCAACCATCGTGTAACGAGTAAGGTGCCATTCATGATTCCATAGAGACAGAAATGGGCCGTGAAGCCCTTGGTATAGCGTGGTGCATCGGAGGATTGGAAGATCTATTTTTCCTGTTAGCTGGACTGGATTATGTTGATGATTAACGGGAGGTATATATACCTGCGGCGCGGTGGCATTTCCAGCGGCCCAGGCGATGAATGTCATGGCGAGTACAGTCGACTTTTTCGTTTGGCCAGCGACATTGCGGGAGATCAGCGAGAATAGAAGATTTCCTTCGGCCCAGATAAACTGCGTGCAGTAGAATGCGATCAAGAGGCCGACCCTTGTGGACTCAGTTGGTGCGATGGTGAAAATGATGGCAGTGCCGACTATGGGAGGGCTGGCAAGATTTATTAGTATATACTATCGGAAATATGATTGCACTTACATTGTCCACAAGTGCATGATCCAGATCGTTTGGTCCGTCCAAGATGACAACGAAGCTCCGCCCACCATGACGGCGCTGGTGACAGCACCCTGTGCGATATTGAGCAATTGTGTTTGCAACGTGGTAAACCCGAAGCTTTTAATGATAATGTTGGAGAACACGCCCAACCCACCGAGCACAAGTGTACTCGACACTTGCATGAGGACATAAAGCCAGATGATAGGGTCGGTCAGTGCTTCTACCAGCTGATATCTCTTGAAGGTCTTGTTTTGAATACCAGTTTCATTCGCCCGCACCCGTTCCACAAGCAAGCGTTTATCGTCCTCGGTGAAGCACTTTGCTTTCATTGGGCTGTCAGGGAGGTACCAGGCTAGAAATGCAGCCCAGACACAAGTCGCCACGCCGAGGACGAGGAAAAGTAATTGCCAGGATCTGATGGCATGACCTATGTAATGGCTGGTGCCCCAGGCCATAATGCCTCCTACCTATGTGACATTAGAGTCATCTATATGTGGGCGAGGGGATAAGTACCATCATCTGGACGCCCATCACTGCGACGGTTAGCTATGAATAATGCTAGTAGGTAGGCTAATACTTACTGCAATTCCACAGGCTTGTTAAAATTGGCTGTTCCTTGCGGGTATACCACATGGACGTCATCTGAATAAAGATTGGCTGGACGCATGATTCAAAGCAGCTAGTAGGAGGTTAGAGTGACAACATGCTATGGAATTGGTAGACAAACCCCAGGAGGAATCGAACAACCATTAATCCGGGGAAGTTCTTAGCGGCCGCACTGCACTGGAATATGTGAGTTGCTGTCAAGCTGTAGCGACATCAGGCTGAACATACGGCGATGACCACTCCCCAGAGAAATACACTATTTCAGTCAATCATTGTCTTCATATATCAGACGAAAACTCACTTCGCCGCAAGATACTTCGCGACCGGTAGTTTCTGGGCCAAGAAGTTGGTCGGATATTCCCCCACAAGCACTCCAATGTACAAGATCGTCCCGAGCCAGTTATATTTGTTGCTATCCAGACCTGCATCCTCCTGAATACCCATGATCGAGCTGAAACCTAGAGTGCCCTTATCAAGAGCTTGGCAGAAGTAGGTCTGGACCATACCATTAGTGGCCGTAACCGCTTGTCGTCAGTACACGAAAACATACCCCAACCATACAGACGAGTATCCGTTGATTGACCTTCCAGAAAAGTCGTCGATCGGTAGCTTTGTCGATCTCAACGGGAGGGCCAGTTGCATAGGCTGCGGTTTCTGCATCGACCCCGGCCATGTACTGAGGTTTCTCGGGTGGGTCAATATGCTCATGCTGGGAGGAAATGCCTTTACGGTCTGCTTGGATGTCGGCCATCGTGGGTGAGTATGCCAAGGTTAACGTTGAAAATAATGGGATCTAGTCGCGAAGTACTGGATTTATGAGGACGTTTGTGTATGGAAGGACGCATATCGTTCCGCCCTAAAATCGGAGCACCGCTACGGAGGGTCATTATTGACGCTGTATGATACCCAATTCTGAGTCGTGGAGAAGAAGAATCTGGGGAAAAAGGGTGTGCCGTCGGACGAGGTCCGGCAACTAGTCCGAGACTCTCATGCTGTCAAGTGGCCGAGGGCTAATCGGCGATGCCCCGGCCATTCCTCCGCTGCCGTGCCCTACTTGATCAGTATCTGACCGTTCTCTATACGTTATAACAATGCAACCATTTTATGGAACGTGGTTATTGAGTGTTTGGATTTTAGTGCTGATAGAATTTCATTTTGTGCCTGGGTTCTATAATTTGAATTAAATATCTCTTGTCATTCAACCATCTACGATTGGAGCAATATAAAAATGCACGAAAACAACTCATTATCAGCGAAACGAGTGCTAGAGTCGTGGCAAAATGGGACAGACGTAGGCATACCTACCTTTTCAGTAATCAACAAGAAGATACACTAACAACCACAGTCACCCAAAAAGCCCAAAACCGACGAAGTACATTCCGAAGCCACAGCCTCCCCGTTAGTCAAAGCACTATATTCCGAATCCGCAACAGCAAAACTCTGGAACGTGGCGATTAAGGCGTTAGACAATGCAAACCCACCAACCCTCTACCCAGAGTACACCGGCGCAGACGGTGTGACCTACGTCTACCGCACTCTCGATTTCTGGACATCAGGATTCTTCCCTGGCTCGCTGTATCTCCTCCTTGAACGGCAGACTCTCTATCCAGCTTTCTATGACATCCCATGGCGACTCAGTAGAAAGGGCTCACTACCCCATAAGCTTCAGCTTCAGTACCTCTGCCAATGGTGGACAGCCAATCTACACGCCAACGCCGCGAAGCGAGATACCCACGATCTGGGATTCATGATCGCGCCATGGGCAATGAAAGCCTGGTCTCTGAACCGCGATCCGCAGGCCTACAACAGTTTAGCCCTAGCCGCGCACTCTCTGGCTAGTCGGTTCGACGAGCGCGTTCAGTCGTTGCGGAGCTGGGACGTTTGTCATACTAAACGATATTCATTCACGGACCCCGAGAAGGATTTCCTGGTTATTATCGATAACATGTTGAATCTTGACTTGTTATTCTGGGCTGCGAAGGAGACGGGAAATGCAAATTTTTACGATATCGCAGTTGCGCATGCGCGGACCACAGCTAAGCACCATATAAGATCGGATAATGGAACAGTCCATGTTGTTAATTATGATACGAAGACTGGGTTACCCAAATCGAAGTTCACGCATCAGGGATATAGCGATGAGAGCTGTTGGGCTCGCGGCCAGGCTTGGGGGATCTTGGGGTTCATGCAGACTTTCGAGTGGACTAGGGAGATGGAATTTCTCACTACGGCACGAAGCTTGGCTGATTTTTTTATCCGTCGGTTACCCGATGACGCAGTGCCATATTGGGATTTTGATGCTCCTGTGGACTCGTCCTGTCCGAGAGATACTTCTGCAGGTATGGTGGCGGGTTGTGGGCTGTTATTGATTTATAAGACGTTGAGGGGCGTGGATGAGGATGCTGCTGAATTTTATTTGAAGTCTGCGCTGAGGATTTTAAAGGGTACGGTTGACGGGTTCATGACTCCTGGCGACCTGAGGTTCGAGGTTGAGGCGTCTGATACTGTGGTACCCACGTATCCTGCCGATCTACCTGAGCACGAAAAGAAGCAGTCGGGGGCGCTTCGGGTTATGGATTCTCGACCGGCGCAAAATGGGAATGGTACTTGCAAGAAGACACCGGAAACCATCCTCGATGGTGCGACGATAAATAACTATGAGTTTGCTACTCGTCGCTGGGCGAACCATGGTCTTGTCTATGCCGATTATTATTTCATGTTGATGGGAAACATGCTCTTAGAGCTGGGACTAGTCAGTGTGGCAAGGTTTGTTATCCATCGGGAGCATTTATTACAATAGAGGTATACGCAATAGACTATAGATTGTTGAAGCTTCCTCCGGTTATTATTCTATTTGCAGGTATACAAGAGCAGTAGGAGGAGAAATCCGCTCGCTAACTACTGTGTCCCAAGATGTCCGCAATTCTCCCCAATGGCAGCCGCTCGGTCCACTTCCACTGCACTATAGCGACTGATCCTCTGTCCAGGACTAGGGGTTGTCTGCGGATGCTCCGGCGATGCGCAACCAAATGAAATGGGGGCATTAGTGTATAAAGGGCTTGTCGCATTATTCCAGATCGACACATGGGACGGCTGAGGGTTAAACTGGTCCCGGTCCGTTAACGAAATACCAAACGGATCTACATCGGTGAAACTCTGGAGAGTTTGTTGGAATGACAAGGGAAGCGGAGGAAACGCCAAGCCAATCGAGGTGTCAGATTGATTATCGGGTATGGGCAGTGGGGGCTCTTGTTCACCGTATGTATTGTTTGGCAGAATCGACGAGCGTTCAAGTACTGTTGGTGTAGAAACTGCTTCTACATGCTTGGAAGGTGCTCTATCGTCAGTACCTTCAGAGTATGCTGTCTGTCGGATATCTAAGCTAGCTTTGGATAGTGCGGGAAAGTTGTCCTTTGCGGAAACCAATCGCTTAGCAAAGCCGGAGGCGAGGTTATCCTTTTGGCTGTCGTGTACATTCTGGGGCCCTGCCCATCGCCGGGAGACTTCGAACAAGCTGGCAATAAGCGAATCCAACGAATTGGGTATCGGAGTACCGTAGTATTTAGAATGCGTGAGAAGCATCCTACCGGCAATGAATAGGCAGAAGGAGAACTGGGGGTTGGTGAGGATGGGAGAGCAAAGAAGAAACTGCTGGCCAATCGTACTGATCTCCGAAGCAGCTTCCAGACATGTTTCTGCCGATGATGTTGAAGGCAGTTTGACGGGGCAAGACTGCCAGTGTAATGGCGGGTAGGCGATCCCTTGGTGGAGGAGTATTACGGCTGTGTTATGTGTTGTATGTGCAAGAGTAAGATTAGGGTCCATGATTCCGTCGGCGTTAAGAACTGATGCGTCCCGCCACTTTGGTGGCAGAAAAAGCTTCCATCTGAAGAATGGTCAATGTTTGCCATAGGTCGATCTAACTGGGAAAGAACGCTTACTGGACCATCCGGAGATCGAGCTCCTTAAATCGCATGAGCCAGAGTTGTGCTTTGTCTACATCTCGGATGTCAAGGGCGTGGTGAAGAAAGAAGTTCGTGACTAATGCTAGAGACTCGGTGGCTTCGATGCAGTAAGCGAACCCTCCGATACAATCTTGCTCCTTCGGATCAGCCGTCATTCGATTCTCTGTCAGTAAAGGGCGATGGGGGCTAGCGGCCTTTGCGTCCGAGATGCCAAAGTATGGCGGCCTTACTTCAGTTTCCTGCTCCCAGAGTGCTCCTTCGCAAGGTAGTCGCCGTTTGACATCTGCACTGGTCAGACTGATATTCCAACCGGTGGATACGCTGCAGAAGCGATCCATTAAGAACACTGTCCAGAACACACGTCGCCTTTCTTCCGCTTCTCTCCAAGAGGTGGATGGTTTCAGAAACGCCATGCGTCGTATTAATGTCTCGCCAGATTGGGAATGGTTTGAAAGATGCTCCTCTTCGACGCTTAGCTGAAGCTGCTCTACTGTGCGAGCCATACCTCCTACGATGGACCATGAGGACGGACCGCGTCCACGACCGATCAATACGGACATTAGCAACTTTGCGGACGGCGAAAGGCACGGTCAGCTTACTGTGTCAAAGGCAATGATTACTAAAGCCTGGAGGTTCTCAACCGAGAATGACTCCATGCTGCTCAATATAACCTTTTGCCTACTTCTTTCTGCCAATTCGGCCTTCTCTGCGTCGTTTCCCAGGCGACTGTCATCGGAAAATCGGCTACACAACGCAACAATAGCATGCAGGATATATATGGCCTTCTGGCGTCCCTTGTAAGACTGAATTTGTTCACGAAATCTTCGGACATGTAGAATTGGAATCCAATGGTGGATATTCGCAAAGTAAAATTCAACGAGATCGTTCACTATGTCAGAGTTGAGGATGTCGAAGCCTGTCCCGTTCCGTACTGGCTGCTGTGTTGTCGACACCACATCGATCTTTCGTCGCTTTGGCGATCGAAAATCACCATCATCCTTGTGTTCTACCTCAATCGAAGACGCTGTCATGTCCTTGGTCGCAGCAAGCTGTAGCATTGACTTCTTCATGGCTTCCCGCGCGTGAGCCAATTGTCTACCCGGGAATTCCTCATTATGACCATCCTCATCTGCAGCACCAGGAAAGGCAGAGTTAGGATGGAGCGCCTCCCAGACCTGCTTCCACAAAACACTTTGCCCGAGAAACATGTTCTCCAGCGTATCAATGCGGCGATAGAGCTGGTCAACTGCCCCTGCGCGTAACCCAGGCTTCAGCCGACGGTCATCGTAAACGCATGCGACATCAAAGCGCACACATTGCGAACATGGTTGCTCGCGACTACATCGTGCCTTTTTCTTTCGGCAGGACTGACAAGCGGGGATATCGTCTTCTGGCTTGGAGGCGTCCTGGTCTTGTTGTGGCTGTTGCGGTCGTTGATCCTGCGCGGACCGGCCGTTTCCTTTAGACCGCATTCTGGCGAGGTTTCAACCTGTTAATACTGGTCATTTGTGATATTGACGCCATATCTCAACTGCCGTCGTGACGGCTTAGATGCATATTCCCCACGGGGCAGACTGTTGCATGATTGCGGAGTTTGTCTTTTCCCCCCGCATGGAAGGGAGAAAAGTAGCGCCGGACGAAGTAACGGAGTCTCTCCGAAGCCTTCATCGGGTGGAGCTCCAGCAAAGATCAACACCGCATGGAACCAATCAACTCACTCATATGTTCCGGACTTTTCCTTTTGGGTAATTTTCCGGTTGGTCTATTCGGTGCCACTGCTACTCACAATGCTAGTTACCTTTCCATGTTATTAAACTTATTTTGTCAAGCATCTGGGGTAAGTACTAGTTGATTAAAGAAGAGTAATACAGGCTTTCTGCCCAAGACAAATCGCGGTGCGTGGGGAAGAATCTCCGTACTAAGCTTAGTGTTATCAAGAGGATTGGAATCTATCTGCTTTGACCATGAAGAAGTGGGCGCCCTCTCGTTTGCTATTGCTCGCTCGTAAAGTTCAATCCCTCTACATATTCATTCGCAAACATGGGAACAAAATCCGCCGTATAGTACCAGGATGGCTTAGCCATATTATCATCGATGAACTTGTCGTTAATCCGCAGGCCGACAAACGTGACATTGGAAATCTTCCGATCTTTATCATATCCCAAAATTAACGAAGGGTTGGCATGGGACCCATTGTACACCAGGTCCTTAACGTAGACATTCCGAATGCCTCTGCCAGGGGACGTGTTATACTTGGAGTTATACATCACCCGGAAATTGAGTAACTGGCCCAAGCGGAAATCCTCGACTCGTACGTCTTCAATATGGATGTTTTGGATCAAATTACTATCTCCGGGATTGATGGCAATGCATCCCTGGTACCACAGTTGCGGCTCACGGTGATCGAGAATGTCAATGTTGCGGATCGTGACGCCGTCCATTGTCTCGGGGTTGTCGGTGTTGCCATGCGTGCCGATATTTATGGGATGAGCCCAATCTGCCCAGAGGGATGAATTCTGCACGGTAATATTCTTAGAGTCCCCGTAGTAGTTCCAGCGGTGCTGGTAAAGCGCGATATTATCATCGGAGTTGCGTAGAAACACCCCATCAATAAGCACATCCTCACTGCAGAAGAAGTCAATCCCGTCGCCATTGCCGGTGGAGGACATCGACCGGATACCCGACATGGTGATATTTTTCGATGTGCCCGTCGTGACGGAGAACCCTTTTGCTCCGAGAATGAGAATATCCTTGACCAGGATATTCCTCGACCATTCGATAAGTATACCGCCCGATGAGCTCGGATTGATCACGCCTCGACCCTGAATTGAACCGCTGGTCGCATTCTGAAAGGCCAGTCGGGAAGTGACAACTGCACCGGGAGCAAGATATACAATTTTACCGGATGGCACGACCAGTGTTCCACTCTTGGAGGAGGGGCCGTTGTCGATGCCGGGTCCAAAGTAAACCACATTCGGATCTCGTTGACTTGGAATGTCGGTCTCCAGGGCATTTGTGAAAAGCTGTAACGTATCAAATACATCGTCGTTCACTTGGACTACGACGTTGCGTGGCCGGTCCAACGTAAATGAGACCGTATTTCCTTTAACGGTCGGCTTAATGCCATATGAGTATGGCCTAATGACCGCAGATTTGACAGGCCCTTTGTTGTAGGTGACGGAGAGGTCGATGGGTCCTTCAAAGTCGAACACGGCAAAGGAAGTATTGTGCTCAATTCCCTTTCCGGACGTCGTATTGGCTTCTGATACGATGGCGTTGTAGGACTCGACAGTATGCAAACCCCCAGGAGATTGCTTAACATGAATGACGTAGGAGTGTGCCCGGTTCAACCCTTCTGGAAAGTTATATGTTTTTATGCTGCTATTTAGGGCCGGTGAAGCGGTGGCCCATTGAAGGAGGAAGAGTGTAGCCAATATAGCCCTGAAAGCCATGATGCTTAACATAATTTGCGAAGGGGCAAGCTGGTGTACTGAATGCTTGAGAAATAATCGGAGCACATTGTTTTATAATCTTCAAGCGAATGTATGGCCTGTACAGCAAATGAAGTCACCATGGTTTCTTGCCCGCCACATCTTCCGATCGTATAATGGAGGTGATCCGACAATTGCTCCGTCATGCCCTTGAGTCAGGCGCACTTGAGCCTGCCAACAAAAGTGCACGTCAGCCATTATTGCATGCATTTTAGGTTGTACTGAATGCCCAACTAAAGTCCAGGCGTATGCTAATATAATCACAAATACTAGATTGAAACACATGGAAGGTTGAGAGTTCCCCCTTTTGAAAACTCCCATGGAGGCCCCGATGCATCCTATTGTACAGAGGGAAAGGGAACCATCGACAAATGGAATAGTGCAAGGGACTGGCCATTGCCTCTCCCGAACAAAGGTTGGGATATAAGACCTTGTACATAATATCCCACAACAATGTTTTATCGCAGCGATGAAAGATTTGTTGAATGGATCCTACAACCACTCCCAGGTGTCACGATACTTGTGCCTCCGCAGATATTGTTTAATGCAGGATGCTATAGTTATTGGAGAGGGCACTCACTAGAGTGTGTATGAAATTAATAGAATAAAGGACTGTGGAGTAAAACACGTAGAAAGAACGTGGCTCACCGGGCCCATTGCGCAATCGATAATTCCTTGTGTCTGGACGGTGCACGAGCTCGAGAATTGTCCGCTGGTTAGTTTCTATGACAAGCTTAAATCTTAAATAACCCCCGATGTTTTACCGGTCTTGAAGTCAGGTACATACATACGCCCTACTATCACGTCTGATGCATACAAGCTCGCGTCAGAGGCACGATCGTTCACCGAAGTGGGGGTGGTAGCGATCACGCAACTTAGGGCACGAATTGGCATTTGACTTGCAAACTTAGTATCAACCCAAGGATACCGTACACTTGACACCTGCAGCTATACTCTACGTCCAATTGCTATGCTATAGAAATAAAATGGGCCTCGATCGTGTTAGACGACACGGTCGGCATTTCCTGAGATGGTCGATTAACTTGGTGCCCGTTATCTCTATTTTGGGTTTACGCTGTTCCGTTCGCATGGCCACCGCAAACATCTCTAGTTTGAACGTCAGCCACGCTAATTCTTTGCCAATGCGCTAGTAAGAATCAACAAGAGAATGTAACTAATGATTACTCGTCATCAGTTGGTTCTCGAACTCGGCCCGGACCGACGCCGAAAATAATTCTCGATAAGCATGTCCAAGCATCCAATTGAAATGCTTGTACTAGTATTTAGGTCTATCAATGGGCAACCTTCCGGTTGGACCTTTATCGATTCTGCTTTACCTGCTTTTCTTTCACCATGCAGGATACAAAGTGGCTGTCAGTTCTAGATATCTCAAGTCTAGCATGTTTAAACAGTGAGTACATTAGTTCCTCACCGCTTGCGCCTTAGAAACTGAAAGCAATTCAGTACGTTGTCATCCCACGTTCATCTTTTTCACTCCGCTAGAATTATTATGTGGAATATATTGTGAATTTTGATTTATCGTTGATTAAATTTTCAAAATTCTTCATTCCATTTGAATGATAGTCACACCAGATATCGCGCCCGAGAATTGTTCAGTTGATGATATCATAGACTGTTGAAGATCCACTGGATCCGCTCCACATGCAACATAGCTATTTCAAGACCTTATACCAGGTGTCTTCCATTACACTAGCGTTATGATGTGATATATCATGTTCGATAGCGTGATAGAAAACCTTCCATGTTAGGTGGGTCTGCTATGATCCTTCCTCGTAAGAGCCTGTACTCTAGAAAACCCCTTGCATTATATTTGCTGGTAAATTCTCGCGGTAGTTCTCTGGAATATTCTGTTGAGGGCCAATACTGTATTCACTGGGCATAGTATTGGACTTGCCTTAATCCGTCATGCCTTCTGAAAGCTGTTCAGAGACTAAAGCCCAAGATGGCCAAGATGATTACAAGGGCGGGCCTACTGTTGAGGCTCATACGACAGATCTAGAGTCGGACAAAGGGATAGATGAGGTGCGAAAGCCCAGGGAGACAACCGAATTACCCCCCGTGGAAGCATTTAAATGGAATGTCGATGGGGATCAATCACCGTGTGGGTAGCCCAAGGACAAATGTTAGCTATGAGCCATGTGTTAATTAATTAACTGGGGAATTTTGTAGTCCCTGAAGTGGCCGCCTGCGTGTCCAACACGGATGATCCAACCATGCTCTGCAACAGTGAGTGGCCGACTTTTTCCGCCGGTCGCATTTACTGACTTTTATCTCAGCTGTTCGAGCATGGATCCTCATGACAATTTTTGTTGTCTTATTTTCGGGTGTTAACCAGTTCTTCGGCCTGCGATACGTATGTTGAGGACCCTTGAATCTCAAACATGCGTGGACTGAACAACGCTTCGATGCTGACCGCGCTAAGCCTTCTCTCACTATCGGCTATGTTGTAGCCCAACTTCTCGTTTTCCCTATCGGTCGGGCATGGGAAAAGCTTCCCCGTTGGAGGGTACCGTTGGGAAAGCTATCATTCGATATCAATCCAGGAAAATTCACCGTCAAAGAGCATGCCTTTATTGTCATCGTCAGTCATCCTTTCCACATGTACATCTCTGGTATGCTGGCTCACTCAATGATGAATATAGTGTGTCAATATCAGCGCTTCTACACCTTATGCGCAAGGGTCACTAGTGGCAATTATCCACCCTCAGTACTGGGGACGTGACTTCGGACCAGGCTTCTCTTTTCTGTACCTCCTGACCACCCAAATGATCGGGTAAGTGATTGAGGTCTAAGAAGGCCTTTCTCAAGTCTGGTACACCAATACTCACATTTTTCAGCTTCGGCCTGGCCGGCCTTGCTCGCCGGTGGATCGTCTATCCAGCCGCTCTCATTTGGCCCACATCTCTTTCCTCCACCGTTCTCTTTCGCGCTCTTCACGAGCGTGAAGACCGTTCTCCTGCAAATGGATGGACAATTACTCGATACCGCTTCTTCGCTTATTTTTCAATTTTCGGTTTTGTGCTGTTCTGGTTTCCCGATTATATTTGGACCAGTCTCAGTAGTTTTGCGTTTATCACATGGATTGTGCCTCACAACCAGGTGGTCAACACATTGTTCGGAGTGAGGCCCCTCGATAGCTTATGCTAGATTCATTGCCATAGTCTAACACGTGTGGTATTACAGATGAACTCGGGCTTAGGGCTTCTGCCCATTAGTCTCGACTGGACCGAGATAAACTACGCCGGCTTTCCACTGACCACCCCTTTCTACATCACCTGTAATGCCTTCGCAACGATTGTATTATTCTATTTCTTCCTTTCCCCGATCCTGTACTACACCAATGTCTGGAATAGTGCTTAGTGAGTGCATTTGTTTTCCCACTGATTCGCGAGACTCGATTTCTAACCTGTTTACCAGCCTACCGCTCCTATCGTCAAACACGTTTGACAACACCGGCCAGTCATATAACATCACACGAGTGGTGGATGCTAATTTAAACTTCGTCGAGAGCAAATATCAAGCCTACTCTCCGATGTACATCTCAGTGGGGTACGCACTTACTTACGGCCTGGGCTTTGCCGCAGTGACAGCCGTGATTGTGCACACCTATCTCTACAACGGTCGCGAAATCTGGGCCAAATTCAAAAACGCCCGTGCTGGTGGCGAGGACATCCATCGTCGACTAATGCATGCCTACAATGACGTCCCGGACTGGTGGTACGGAATATTGACCGTTATTGTGCTTGGATTAGGTGTTCTCACCGTGCGATACTGGGACACCGAGTTGCCCGTCTGGGGATTCCTCGTCATCTGCTTTGGCATGGGCCTCGTTCTGATCCTGCCAGAAGGGATTTTACAAGGAACAACTAACCAACGTGTCTTCCTGAATATTATCACGGAGCTTATTGCGGGGTATGCATATCCTGGCAGCGCGATCGCCAACACTATGGTCAAGTGTTATGGGTATAACTCAATTAAGCACGCCATGGACTTTGCCCAAGATCTCAAGATGGGACAGTATATGGTGCGTTCATGTATCAATAAAAACCCCCCTTTCATTTGAGCTAACGAATCTGCGATGCAGAAAATCCCGCCTCGTGCGCTCTTCGCCGGTCAAGTATATGCATCCATTATCGCGACTATGACTCAAACTGGAGGTGCGCTTCGCTATTTTTATCTGACAATAAGTCCAATCCACTAACAGAAACACGCAGTTTTACGCTGGATGCTCGGCCATATATCCCGGCTCTGTGACCCCAAGAATCCCAATCGTTTTACCTGCAACGGCTCCAAGGTGATGTACAATGCATCCATTATTTGGGGAACAATCGGTCCCCAAAGAATGTTCCAACAAGGACAAGTCTACAACGGCCTCATGTACTTTTTCATAATCGGGGTATGTTAGCACTCGGTCAAAAATACATCATATTTCCCTGGGCTAACTCTTACCAAGCCGGTTGTCACCGTCATCGTTTATTTGCTTTACCGGCGATATCCCAATAGCTGGCTGAAGTACGTGAACGTACCAATCTTCTTTAATGCCGCCGGCAATATCCCACCTGCTACTACGAGTAAGTGAAGAGCTTTTTCTTTTTCGGGGTTTCAATGACTAACTTTATCTCAGCGCAATATTCCCTCTGGTTCATCGTCGGATTCATATTCAATTTCTGGATCCGCCGGCGCGCCTTCCAGTGGTGGAAGCGATACAATTGTGAGTTTCATTTTCGTCCTACTTATAGTACCACTGTTTTCAAATACTAATCATTGAACATAGACCTCCTCCAAGCTGCGATGGATACAGGCACTGCCCTGGCTACCATCCTCATTTTCTTCGCACTTAGCTACACCGGTACCAAGCTTAGCTGGTGGGGCAATAATGTCGGATCTAATACTTATGATTCGCAGTCTGTTCCCTATCTAAAGGTCTCTGATGGAGGTCATTTCGGCCCGGGGCCTGGGGAGTTTAAGTAGGGGAGGTTCTACTAGTAGTCTCTGGGCTCTGAAAGATGAACCTGTTGGTTGTCAGGTTAGCGGCCATATATAATCTGACGTTATAGTATTAATACGAGAATACGTTTGAGATAATTGGGCTGTAGTTGTAGGCTACTTACTATTTATTTTGTTTATTCATTTATGTATTTCTGCAAAGGATATCAATTATGTGAAGCGGCAAAGTCCAGGGGGAAAATTAAGCCATGGTAGGAAACATAAGATATATATCTCAGGCAGTCAATTTACCCTGGATGTGGCTGATAGAGCTCCTATAGCATACGGCAGGTGAGGCGAGACTATGCAGTAAATCTGAGATCTTATGGGACAATATACAAAGTAAATCGTTCTAAGCCTTAGTAGCATAGATCTGAAAAGAACCTGGACAAACAGTCAACAGGGTCAGCAGCGCAATTAAGCGCAGGATAGAAGACAGTAACTGACCGACCCACTCATTAAAATCCAACCCCGCAACATCACTCGCAGCCTTATCATCCCCAGAGCTACCGCCACAACACGAGCCTTGAGGCAAATACGAAGACCCTTTGTAGAGGTTAAGGTCCGACTTCGTATCAACAATAAACGCGTCTAGGAGCAGGTTAGTACCAAGTCTCTCTTTATAGCGGGTGTACATGCCTTCGAATCCAACCTGTTTCAGATACGCCTCATACTGCCCAACCTGACTAGCACCAGCGACACACCCAACGTACAGCGCCATATTGTTAGTAATATGATCCGGAAGCGGCCTTCTAGCTAGAATATCACTGATCGCGACCCTTCCGCCAGGCTTCAGAAGGCGGGCAATCTCTTTAAACACGGCCGCTTTGTCGGTAGCTGGGACAAGATTGATGACGCAGTTACTGATGATGCAGTCGACGCTGAAGTCTGGTAGTGGTATGGAGTTGATATTTGCTTGTATGACTTTTGCATTGGAGATTCCTGCCTCTTGGATGTTTTTCTCGGCAAGTTCAACCATGCTCTTTGTCTCATATCAGCTCTGTCTCTACGGTGCAAAGGCCTCAGAAAACTCACTTTTGTCATATCAACGCCGATGGCCTGTCCATGGGGCCCGACTTTACGAGCCGCCAGGAGTACGTCAATACCGCTGCCGCTGCCAAGATCTAGAACTGTTTCACCCTGCTAGAAGGTTAGAGGCTTCGTTACTATCGAGGGAAAGGATTGGTTAAGGAAAAGGACAGACCTCTTTCACATTGGCAAATCCCACCGGATTTCCACAGCTCAAGCCAAGATTGGTCTTCCCTGGCAGCGAACTCAGATCTTCCGTACTGTAGCCAAACGCCCTAGCAATTTCCTCTTCCTTGTCGTGCTGCTGGGCGTCGCTACTTTGCTTGGCGATGTGTCCGTAGCGTGACTGAACAAGGTTGTAGGTATTGTCGCACATATTGTAGGAGATTTGTAACACGATACAACTATATATGGCAAGGTGGAAATGTTGATTGGTGGTTATTGGATTTACTATGGTTGAGACATTAGTAGTGTGATGAGCTAGCTCTTCGAACGGTAGACGGGAGACATTCGACTGTATTTATATTCACGAGATTTCTTAATTAAGATTTGATTAAATGTGAGCAAATGTGATAGCATTTGTCATGTTCCTTGGTGAGTGGATAGCCGATATGTCACCAATTTAAGCACAACTTCATAAACATTGGGAAAGTGGTATGTCACCACTTTCGGAGTGGATCCCGAGTGCGGGGAATACTAAATAGGTTATTAAATCTGACAAACTAATATGAAGCTGTTCGACGCTTTCCTTTCCACATCTTCCCACAGAAATTACTCTCTATGCATCGTATTCAACGCTATAAAACGACAAAAGTCATCAGCGACATGTAACTCGAGCTTAAGGTCCTTCTGTGATAATATAACCAAACGTAACGTGGCAAGACTCGAATCGGCGCACCCCAAGCCTCCACCATGCCACGCATCAAGCAGAAAACCAAAGTATGAAGGTATCACTTTTATACTCACTCAGTACATAATATCTAACTCCTCAGCTAGGCAGATAATCTCACCCGTGTGCGCAACAACCAGCGTCGCTGCAGACAGCGAAAACGAGATTATGTAGCGGAACTGGAACGGAGACTTGCATCCATCGAGGGCACTACTTCCCGAGAGATAAGGAGGCTGCAGTCTATTACGGACGAGCTTCATCAAGAAAATGAGAGGTTGACAGCGTTACTCTATGCCGGGGGCGCTGATTCCAGTTTTATCAGACCTAACAGACAGACGGAGAGCGAGAACAACGCATTAAGAGATATAAGCAGTGAGCCCATCCCTCTTGGGGATGAGTCTCTCTTGGGTAGGGCTACATCCCACTCTGCCATAGTTCATCCACCGCAGGCATATGATATACCCGACCCATCATTCCATTGGCGCCGTATCTGATATGACTGGATATTTATTAGGGCCTCCAGAGAACACAATTCTAGAAGATATTCCCCAGCTCGGCTTCGATCTACCACTATCCATATCTCCCAATAAGTGCAAGGATTTTCTCCAGGATACTAGCTGTCTTCTAACTCTTCCTGAAACCGAGCCTGATTCAGGATCCTTACGTCTACCGGAACAGGATGTTATAGACACAACCCTAAGCACAAATTTATCGAGGGACGAGTACCAAGATACAACCGTGTGTGCTGTGGCCCTAGAGCTAGTTATGAATTACAACACAAGGAACCTAAGCATTTCGGAGCTTGATATGCGGCTTCGATGCGGATATAGGAGCGCGCGGTTTCAATGGGAAGGCTGCAGGGTCGATAATCAGGTTTTGTTCGCTGTGCTTGCTGAGGTTATGAGATGACCAAATTTACTATTTCTCAACCTATGTGATAGTCGGCATACCCTGGTATGCCCACACTGCTTCTGGAGAAGATCCATCAGCCGCTAGCGTATTTCTCCAGTGATGCCAATAGACAGAAGAACTGCCAAGCCTCTATATGCAAATCGAATGTGATTCTTACTAATAACTGACTCATTACTTGCATATGTTAAAGGGAAAACCGATGCCGAACTCAACATTTGCATTAGCCTCGTTTTATAGCGTCGTGATATAACTCACCGTTTGTCTGACAAACGAGCGTCTTTTCCTCCTTCGCATTGAATATCCCTCAAAGCTGTCAGATGGCTTCGAAGAGTCCTTAGACTGAACAATCTTTCTATTCCAAAATCTTGTGGCTATGGAATGATTCTCAAAACAATGTGAGTCGGAGATGTCGGACCATACAGTGGAAGTCCGAATATGTCCCCGCTGTGAATCGAAAATAGTAGAAAGTGGGAAAATCAACTTGCCATACAGAATGAATGTTCGTCTAGATTGAATAGCTGCTAGCTGACAGATTATTTGCTTAACATCTCTTTCCACACTCTGAAGTAGCTGACATAGGTTGGTGAAACTTGCGTCATGGAACCAGACATCATGAGTCCGGACAAGTCAAAAGCCACTCAGCTATACAAGTTGATTAGCATTGATTCCTTAGGAAATCTCGTCTACACTCGAAATCTAATCCTACAAAGGTCACTTATCCATCCACGTACCTCAAGTTACTTGGAAATGTTTATGGGTATCTCTAGTATAGCCTTCGGGAAGCTACTTAGGCTGCTCTGCATAGTCAAATGTACGCCCTTATAATGCCACTAGATCAGGAAGCCCCTTTATCTTCTTTGAATTATAGCCACCACCGTATGAAACAGAGACTCGATAGGACTAACAGTGTAGGCCTGCTTTACGTCTCAATAAGCCTAGCTGGAATAGACCATGGGCACCTTTGTCCTCGAATCCAGTGAGTGTATGATGCAAGATATTATTAGACGAATCTATATACTGCCAAGTCGTCGTTGAACTTCCACGTAGCACTCTGTCAAATGGCTGCCAACCTCCGCTCCTACCAGTCAATCCATCTTCATGACACCCAATTCCTTGGTGGTATAAAGGGCATGTTTGCAGAGAAATGCTGTCAAGAAAGCCAACTCTCCAAAAGAATCCTGGTAAATCGAACCCTTCCCGAATGATCATGGAAAGTGCCACATCGCGTACACCTCAACATACCCGCATTCTATGGGTTATTCTGATCAATGACGAATGTTTTGATTCCAACCAATCCTTTCTATGAAGGACTGAATTGGAAGTGTGGCGTCGTTCATACTCATGGAAAAGGGGGCGGATGCCTCAGTAATGGTTGGGTTTACAATATTCAAACGGTCTGTTTTTGGGATCGGAAATGTGTGGGGCGGTGGGTCCCTTGTCTTTCTACACAGTACATTCAGATTGTCGATCTAGTACGAAATTGACAAACACGATGTCAATGGAGCTCGAGTACTGACACGAAGGGGCTCGGCATACGCAATACACCATCAGATCATGAGTCATAGGAAGCCGAAATCCATGCAGTCAGAATGAGGATCGTCGCTCCTTTCAGTTGGAAGATTGTTCGCGGGCCCCCTTTCCTTGGAACTAAGGGGGTTTTGCAGTACTAGATCAAGTGAATTGCTTGCAGGGTAGCATTACGGTGGATCGACTGGTGCTAGCGAGGTAATGTGCGGAGAGAAAGCGTACTCCGTATACCAATCATGAAGTTACCTTGCCCAAGCAGCTTTACGTACGGACAATATAAAAGTTTCTCCAGAAAAAGCATGGTTGAACTAGAGCAGCCTAAAGCATGCCACCCCTGGGAGTTTGCTGGCATGTAAACCTTTGCCCCTCTCTTATCGGGTCTTGAATTATTCGCGCGACACCGTACTTAGTCTGTTCAATGAAAGGATATGGTTCCATTGTGCGTTTTGATATACAGAAGTATTGCAGATGCAGTCTCCGAGATACCGGCGTGCTGAATCCGGGCGTTTCCGAGCATCATTTAAAGTACGTAGTACAGACCCGCAAAACTTATTTTGACCGTGGGTGGATCCCGACCCACAACATTTCCAGCCCTACTTATATTTATTTCGCTTTCTCTCTACTCCGTATATCCGAGCTGATAGATTCGTTCGGAAGTTCAAAAGATGCCGAACAATTGCTACACCCTGCTCACGAACGTAGCACTGTGTTCCCTAAATGGAAAGTAGTATAGTATAAGTTTATAGTATATAAAAAAAAGCCTTTTCCTCGAGACCGCGACCAATATATTAGCATGACCATTCATCCGCTCACCTTCTCCGTTCTCCAACATTATCTCAATTTATTGACTACCGATTTTTTCGGAATGATGTGCAAGTATTCTCTGCCCTTACTCACCTCGGTGGCTTTTGCGCTGGCATTTGACAAACAGCCTACGTCTAGTGTGGCCGCGACCCCGACGCTGCTCTCCCAGAGAGCCGTCTCCACCAACGTTGCCTCGTACGTCAATGATACCAGTGCGTATTATCTGGGATATTGTACAGAGGATTATATCAAATACTTTTTTAAGTATTATAATCCGAAGGTGGCTGCCATCAGCGAGGAGGTGTCGGCTGGTCTCCAAATGAGTCCTGATGCCTCTGCCCTAGGTGAGTGTAGAACGGTCTGGCTTCCCGACCTGACAGCGAGTCTCCTCGTCCAGCATTAAAATCGCTAATCAATCGGCGATGCCGCCGGAATTTTAGCATTCGAAGCCACCGAGGCGCATAAGTTGCTGGTACAACCCGGCTACCTCGAGATCGAGAATGGCTACGCAACAGATGCAAACGGGACATATATGGTAACCGCTCGCACAGAGATGGGTACTGGTAAGCTGTTCCCGGAATCTTGTGCTTTGAAAAACTAGAAGGGAGAAAGAGGAAAGCCTTTCTTAGTGTAATACTGATGAGAACTGCAACCAATTTCTAGTTACCGGAGAGATGTACGACTGGTGGTTCGGCTGGCATCTGGTCGACTCGTCTCGGTACAAGCTCTGGAATCCAATCGCGCATCAATATGCCTGGCGCTATCCGAATGAATGGGACTGGACGAACAAAGCCTATGCTGAGCGCTATATCAACACATTCACTTTCATCGATGAGTACCTCGGCGCCGACTCATCCAAGCTAACAGTCGCCTTCGTCGATCCTTCCGAGCTGAACATTGACAAGTCTAAATGGGCCGAGCAAGGGATTGAGACCATGGTTGTTGCTCGTATTGCTGCTGGAGGTACGTCAATGAAAATATTGAAAGTGTTTACCTCCATTAATGTGACAAAATAGTGCATGAAACCTCCGACTTTAACAACCATAACTGGTTGATTCACCAGCTTCGCCGCCTGCCTAATGGACGCACTGAACTGTGCTCTCGCTTCTGGCTGCAGGGGATCAATGATCAGCTTGCTCATGGCCTTGTGGTTCACTGTAATATCGAAATGACGCGTAAGTCTTGGATGGCCCAGAAAGGTCAAGAGAGATTTAGCGAGTGTTATGCTAATGACCAAATTTTCTTCCCCACAGATCTCGCCTCCTTCCTGCCTCAGATCTTTGAGGAATACAAAAATACCATCTAGGGTATATCACGAGAAAGCTTGTTTAATTTCCGATGATTACTTTCTGGCTCTATTCCAAGGGAAGAGACCGAACGCATGGGCACTGAAAAGGTTGCGACTCGATCGCACTACTAGCAATATGCAGCGAGAAGAGGGTATATCTGAAGTTTCTTCCGATTTGGAGGTATGTATGTACTTTGGCGATAAAGCCAATAGAAAGAAGTGTCTTGTTCTGGAAGCTCCCAGGGTCATTGACTCATTGTAAGAGTCTACTTATCTGGGTAGAAAGCCTGTCGGTCAGACCAGACCCACTAACAGCCACAGACTCAAGATACTAATTGTATATGAACTGAGTCTTTAAGAGATTAAAACAAGGGGAGGAGGGTTTCTGTTGTGATATCATAAGACGATAAAGGAACTTATATAACATACCCAGTTTACTATATCTGGAATCATGTTTCTCAACGTTACAGTTATAAGCGCTTCTGGTGGATATGGCAGATATAGCTAGGGTTGAAGTAATTCTTGCTAGTGATCCTAGGGGTATATATGGTAGAATCGAATACATTTCCTGTCTATAGAGCGTTACTTTGTTCAAACTGGTACATACGACCATAGGGTGTGGAGAACAGGGCTTCCCGTCCGCTCAGCCGTACTTAAGCCACACGCCGGGAGGTTAGTAGTTGGGTGGGTGACCACCAGCGAATCCCTCCTGTTGTATGTTTTTCTTTTTTATTATCCATTAGTGCTGCTTTCTTTCTCTTCCGCCCTTCGCCTAAAAGCTTTCTGTTCCGTAGGTGAATACATTGATGGCAAGATGTGTCGTTGCAGTCACCTCCATGTGGTCCGGTCTCGAGCATATCTTCTTTAAGCAGGGTATTTCGAAGAGAAGC